AATGAAAGAAAGGGGGGGGGGTGTCCTGACCGGAGGCCACCTACCCCAGGCAGGTTCACCGTAAATACTCCTCTTTTGGCAGAAGTCCTGTGAGCCCCCTCCCAGGCTGCCTCCAAACACCTTGCCTCTGGGAGTCATAAACTCTGTAACTGAATTCCTTGCAGCCATAAGAGGTTTCACAGCAACTTTATTCTCCAGGATAGAGGTGGAATGCCCCCTCCCTTCTCCAAGAGGGGAGGGGGCAGTCACAAGCCTGCTTAATTTAATTTAACGCACTATGGCTTGCCAGGTTGCCCCTGGTAACAGCTTCAGCGGCTGCTTCAGTTACTGCTTAAGTTACAACCAGAAGGATTTTTAAAGAGACAGTCCAAGGCCGAACACAGTGGCTCAAGCCTGTAATCCAGCAGTTTGGGAGGCCGAGGCGGGCAGATCACCTGAGGTTGGGGGTTCAAGACTGGCCTTACCAACATGGAGAAACCCCGTCTCTACTAAAAATACAAAATTAGCTGGGCATGGTGGCACATGCCTGTAATCCCAGCTACTTGGGAGGCTGAGGCAGGAGAATGGCTTAAACCTGGAGGTGGAGGTTGCGGTGAGCCAAGATTGCGCCATTGGCCTCTAGTCTGGGCAACAAGAGCGAAACTCCGTCTAAAAAAAAAAAAAGAGAGGGAGACAGACAGTCTATTTTAGAGCCAGAATTGCAGCACAGAGTGAACATCCAACACCAGCTTCACCACAGGGATAGAGGAGTAAAGCCCGGGCACAGTGAGGCTTCTGACTAGATCTGTGTATTGTATTAACTCTGTTCCATATCCACTGACCCCATCTGCAACCCCACAAGCCCTCCTGCAAATGCGGCTCTTAAGCCGGATCTGATGAGGGACTACTTTAGCGATTTGTCACACAGATGTCACCCAACTAGCTACTTTTTTGAAAATCAATTTTAGTCATCAAGTTAAAGGGGAGGAGAGTTGACCCTTAGGAGTTGCCCCTGCAATTCAGGCATACTGCCACCAGGTGGTGGTATTGCTTGCTTAGTGAAAACCGTAACCAGTCTCTTGAATTAATCAGTAATACTCAACAGCGCGCAGAGTGGTGGTGAAACCACTGGATTGTAAACTCTGATGCTAACTAGTGTGGAACCTTAGGTAAGCCACCTCGCCTCTCTCTTCTCGGTGTCCTTGGATATCTAGTAAGGAGATTGATCAGGATAACTGAGTGTTGTGGACAAGGCTTAGGAATAGAATCATGGAGGCATGAGTCTAAGCCCCAGCTCTATCATGTACTAAGTGTGGTTTGGACACATAATTTAATTTCTTGCCACTTGAATACCAAGCAAGAGAGTGGCTGGGAAAGCCCTGAGGACAACACATTAGTCTCCAACACTGGGGACCTGTGGAGGCAAGAAAGGTGCCTGGGACCCAATAGGGGACTGGAGATCCTGAGGTCCTGGGAGCATAGTGGGAGAGGACAGCAGGGTGCCCCAGGATGGCTCCAGATTCCAGGGCCAAAGACCATGTTGCCTCATCGGGCACTGAAACATGCCACAGCAGACAAAGCAACCTCCTAGAGAACCCTAACCCCACTCAGCTCTCAGCTCTACCCAGACCAGGAGGAAGGGAACAGACATCTACTCTGGGCCAGGCACTGCCCTCACAACTCCTGAGAAGCCCATATGATTATCCTCCTTTGCAGATAAGGACATAACCTGCCAGGGGTAACTCATCCCCCAAGGTCGCCCATCTCATATGACCAGGCCTGCCAGGCACACAAGCCTCAGCTCTTCACATTCCCACCCCCCAAGTCTACTACACCTGTTCTTGCTGGATGCTAGGCTCCCTCGCCAGGAGCAAGGAAGGGAGAGTGGGTTCTCTTTCTCCCCACCATGACTCAGTTGAGCCAACCACAAAGCAGGTGAGGGACCAGAGGTCATGGGATCACTCACATAGAAGCAACCAGGGGGCCGGGCACGGTGGTTCACGCCTGTAATCCCAGCACTTTGGGAGGCCAAGGCGGGCAGATCACTTGAGGTCAGGAATTCGAGACCAGCCTGGCCAACATAGCGAAACCCCATCTCTACTAAAAATACAAAAACTAGTCGGGTGTGGTGGCAGGCACCTGTAATCCCAGCTGCTCGGGAGGCTGAGGCAGAATAGCTTGAACTCAGGAGGCAGATGTTGCAGTGAGCCAAGATTACGTCACTGCACTCCAGCCTGGGTGACAGAGCAAGACTCCATCTCAAAAGAAGAAGAAGAAGGAGGAGGAGGAGAAGAAGAAGAAGAAGGAGAAGGAGAAGGAGAAGGAGAAGAAGAAGCAGCAGCAGAAGCAGAAGAAGCAGCAGAAGCAGAAGGAAAAGCAGAAGCAGCAGAAGCAGAAGAAGCCAGGAAGCCTGAGGCACCACGTGCCCCTGATCCTTCGCATGGTCAGGTTTTGACACATCATGCCAATTTGGCCCACACTAGGTGCTCCATAAATCCCAGTCTCCTTCTTCCTTCCCAGGTCCAGTGTAAGTAAAGCAGATAAGGGTATCCAGAGTCCTGTCCCTGCCTTTTTGCTTATTCCCACCTAAGTAACAGGATTACCTTTCAAGGTGATACAAATGTAAAAGCACACATCAATCAGATTTTGGCATTCCTGAGCTCTAGCCTCTTTTTTTTTTTTTTTTTTTTTTTTTTTTTTTTTTTTTTTTTTTGAGACAAGGTCTCACTTTTTTGCCCAGACTGGAGTGCAGAGGTGCTATCATAGCTCACTGCAGCCTTAAACTCCTGGGCTCAAGTAATCCTCCCATCTCAGGCTTTAGAGCAGCTGTGACTATAAATGTGCACCGCTGTGCCTGGCTATTTTGATTTTGATTTTTGAGGAGACAGGGTCTCACTATGTTGCACAGGCTGGTCTTGAACTGCTGCTGGGCTCCAGAGATCCTCCTGCCTCAGCTTCCCAAAGTGCTGGGATTATAGGCATGAGCTACTGTGCCCAACTCCCCAGCTCTCTCTCCTTCTATAGCTCCCCAGTACCCTGCAGATGAGCTCCAAGTCCTGACCCTGGCACTCAGAAGCCCCTCCTGATTATGCCCCTGCTGGCTCTTCCCTTCACCCCTTACTATCAGGGTTCCAGTCCTTGGGCTGCAGGCAGACCCCAGCATACCTTGCTCGCTCTTCTCTGAGCTTTTGCACTTGATGTCCCATCCTCCTAGATTGCCTTTTCTCACTGTATCCACCTGAGTGATTCCTACTTGTCCTTGAGGACACTGCCCTAGTACCTCCTCCTCTGGAAAACCATGGGGAAGTCCTTGGATTGTATAGGATACCTCCCCGAGCTCCCATAGCCCCCGTGTTCCTTCTACTCTAATTGTGTCTTTGGGTCTGGCTTTCCTGCAGGACCCAGAGTCCCTAAATGTGGGACCTGCCTTCTGTCTCCTGTCTTTATTGCCCAGCCGAGAGCCACACGAGAAGCTACTCAGGGAATATTGACTGAGAAATGCAATTAGTGGGACCGCTTCTGGGTGGTCTGACTGGGACCTGGGTTCCAGATCCTGTCCTGAAGGGCAGTCATACCAGTTGGTGGGATCTGACTCATAAGGACCCCTCCCTTTCTTCCTCCCTCCAAATTCATCCAAGGTGTCCCCGGAGCAGCCACAGCCTAACCTGCTAGCATTGGCCCCCCCAGGTCCCCATTCACACACTCTGTGCTGCACACCCATCAGCTCCCCATCCCTAACGTCTCCAGGCCTCTGCTCATGGGAGCTCTCCATCTGGAGCCCACCCTCTGAAGTGCCAATGTGACCCAAGACCCTCCTTAAGCCCTCATCCCCCAACTGGGAGTGGCCCGCCCATCCCCCGCACTCCCTCTGTACCAGTCTCATGGCCTCAATCAGACCTGGCTTCATACCACAGCTACTGGCAACCCGGTGTGGGGAAGCAAGCATGGGCTTTGGAAGCTGATAAACGGGGACCGGATCCCAGCTCTGGCACTCAAAAGCTGTGTGACCTCAGGCAAATCACTTTATCTCTCTGAGCTTCAATATGTTCCTCTATAAAATGGGGATAACAGCTACTTGATAGGTTTGTTGTGAGATGGAGAAGATGGGTGTCAGGATCCTGGCACATGCAGGCACTGAGCCGCATCCTATTATTGAAGCCTGGGTCTGCTTCCGCTGCCAGGTTGTGAGTGCGTTCGGGTGAGGGTGCAGGTCCCATTCAGTGCCACATTCCCAGAGCACCCAACGCAGGGCCTTATGCCATAGGTGCTGACAAATGCATTCACCCCAGCTGCTGGGGATGGGGGTAGAGAGAAGATGGACTCCCCTCCCCCACAGCTGAGGAGGCCACAGTGGGGGTGGTGAGTGCAGAGTGAAGCCTCCAGATCAGGGATGGGAGATGAATGTGGAGGGAGGGGCTGGAGCCTGAGGGAGAGCTGCTGATATGCACTGGGGGTTTTATTGGTTTTCATTAAAATTCCTTCCCGAAGCCGGAGCAGCTACTCCCATAAATAACAGCATAAATATTTTATCTGGTGCCCAAGTCGCACAGCAAGGTTGGCAGGAATAATAATGGCAAAACAGTTCAGGGGGGTCTTGGGCTTCAGCTGAGCTGGGCTCACTTAACATGCCCAAAGGGGCTTTCTCAGGAAGGTAAAGCCTGCAGGGATGGCACCAAAGGGAGAGGCAGGTGGGCGTGGAGGAGAGGGTGAGCAGTGGGGTATGCGCCCTGGGGTTGGGGAGCCTGTGGAGGGTGTGGGAGGAAATGCTTACCACACCTGCTCTAGGATAGGCACCTCACTGGGGGCCCTCACAAAGCCTCTGTAGTCAGAGAAGTGAAGTGACTTGCCCAAGGCCACCCAGCCAGTCACGGGCAGAGCCAGGACTGTAATCAAGGGTGTTTAAGGTCAAAGCCCTTCCCACTGTGCCTGCTGCTTCTTGGGGTTCAGCAAGTGTGGGAGTTTATGAACAATGGCCAGAGTACCTCAGTAATGGCAGCGAGGGCTGTTCTCTGTTTTCCTAGATCCCGATGGAGGAGAAAAGGGGCTGGTATTTCACCATGGCAACACTCTACATCAGGTCAGGCAAGAAGGTGGCAGGGGTACGGGATGGTGGAGGGAGAGGTGTGGCCTGGTACCCAGCCAGCAGGGTAAGGGCAAAGGAGGCTGGGTCCATCCTGCTGGAAAGGGCTCCCCAAACCCCACCACCACCACCACGGGCCTGGGCAGGGCTGGCAGCACACAGGACAGCTGGGAGGGGGTGCCACCCAACCACATCTCCTTCTTGGCCACAGGCTAGATGGTATCTTCCTGGAGCTGGGCAGTGAGGAGCAGAAGAGGCTGCCCGCCTTCAACCGCACGTTGGCTCTGCTCCGGCAAGTGCTCAAGTCTGAGGACCCCCGCCACCAAGGTAGGGGCCCAGGGGATGGGTAGGACAGCAGCCTCTGTCCCCCACCACCAGCCTGCTGGCATTGCACCCACCTCTGGCACTACCTCCCTCTCTTGGCTCCTGTTTCTTCCTCCTTCTCTCTGTCCCCTACACTCATCTGGGCACCTCAAGGAGCCCACATACCTTGCCCAAGTGAACATGCCAACTACAAGTCACTGTGACTGCAGGCTTCCCGTCTGCAGCTCATGACCTGGAGGGTGAGAGGTAGTTTCCCCTGTTTCCAATTATTTATTGTCAGAAGATTGAAGCCTCCGTTGAAGAGGAGTTGAGTCATTTTTTTGCAGGGCCAGAGAGCAAGAACAGGGACTAGAACCACCAGAGCTGGTGAGAGCTGAAGTCAGAAGAGACCTACATACCTGAAATGAGTTCCCCCGGATGACACATTGAACACAGAATAAGCACTAAAACGGGTTCACTAACCCCTCACACGGCCCCTCTCTCCACCTTTGCTTCTCTCTGTCCCTGGCAAGTTGCCCTCAGTGATCTCACGCTACTGTCCATTGCTTTGTCTTCACGGGCAACACCTAAGATGGAGATGGCCCCTTCCCTCTCTCCACCCTGCTGCTTCCTAGAGACCCTCTCCCACCCTTCACCCCCAGCCCTGGCCTGGTGCTACCTCGGGATGCTGCTGGAGCGGAATGACACCTTCTCCACCACCCCCATGGGCGTCCATGACTGCGGGTACTCGGGGACCGAACCTCTGGACTGCTTCGGCAAGGTACGTGCCCCCAGCCACACCCACCCTCTAAACTGAGAAGGAGCCTGGCACCCTAGCCTCTCCACCCAGAACCCAGGCTTCTCTGGGTATCAGTCCCCACCGCGTGGTCCACCCAGGAAGTACACTTACTCCAGACCTTGCTCTCCATCCTCTCTTCATTCAAAACAAAAGAGACCCTCCCCATACCAAATCTGGCCCCAGCCCATTTCTCCAGCCTTGAAACAGACCCTTAGACTTTTTCCCTTGAGGCCTCCATTCACAGTACTCCCTCTGCCAGGAGTTCCCTACCTCCCCACCCCCAGTGGCATAGTAGAATGACGAGTTTAGCTGGGGTCTCCTTGCCAGTCCTGGCCATAGGCTGTGTGACCCTAAGGTAAGTCACTGACAACAAGAAGCAGTCAATGACAATAGTGGGGGTAAGTGCTATCACCCAGGTAAAAACCCTATACTTTGTAAGGTTGGGGGATGAGGGTTGCCTCTGGCCCTTCCTCTCACCTGCCCCGGGAAGATGGGGGAGCATACACTGGGAAGGAGGGGTCTGACTAGGATCTAGAAGGCTTTATTGGATGTGACAGGTGATGTGGTCATGGGCCGGGCTCTCAGGAGTTGAGTGTCAATGGGTTGTGCCCCAAGGTGTTGGGTTCTATGATATGACAACTTACTGGCAGGTGGATAAGGGTGGATATGGGTAAAGGGCACTGTGTTGATATGGATGTATCCAGAAATGGGGTTCCGGTGGTTCAGCACTGTTTAGCCAGCTCTGGCTAACGACCAAGCAAGTGGTTTGCTTTTGCACTCCTCCCTTACCTAGGCCATCGAGATCGCCAAGAACCAGCCTCCCATCCTGAATCGCCTGGCCAAAATCTTCTACTTCCTAGGAAAGCAGGATATGGCCATTGGAACCTGTAACATGGCCCTGGATGTCCTACAAGATCCAGAGCTCAACTGGCAGGCGTACTGCACAAGGGCCAAGGTGGGTCAGCTTCCTGCGCCACCTCACCCCGCCACTGGGAATCAGAGAACAAGGGCCATAGGCCAAGACCCTGTTGCCAGGGCCCAAGGCTCAGGGAGTCCTCATGGTGGAAGGGAGCTTAGGAGCCATCAAAAAACACAGTTGGGTTCTATACAGCTTTTTGTTTGTTTTGAGACAGGGTCTCACTCTGTCACCCAACTGGAGTATGGTGGTGCCACCATGGCTCACTGCAGCCTAGACCTCCTAAGCTCAAGCAATCCTCCCACCTCAGCCTCCCAAGTAGCTGGGACTACAGGGGCACACCACCGCACCCAGCTAATTTTTGTTTTGTTTAGTAGAGATGAGGTCTCATATGTTGCCCAGGCTGATCTCAAACTCCTGGGCTCAAGCAGTCCTCCCACCTTGACCTCCCAAAGTGCTGGGATTCCAGGTGTGAGCCACTACACCCAGCCCTGTAAGGTTTTTGAGTGAAAGAATGCATAAGCCTCCACTCACTGCAGGAATCCCTTCTACAATGCCTGGTCAGTGAGCCCCCAGCCTCTTCTGGATTGGCACAGGTGGAATCAGACTGACCAGAGTTGAAATCTGGCTTCTCTACCTTGCGGAACTTGTGGCAAGCCACTTACCCACCCCCCCGCAAACCTCAGTTCCCAAATCTGTAAGATATAAATAAGAACACTTTCCTTAAAATGTTGTCAACAGACGCAGTGAGGTAGCATCTAAAGCACAGTGCCTTGGACATAGGAGGTGCTTCTCTGAAAGCCAGTAGAGGTCATTTAATATAGTGGATCAGAGCTCTGGCTCTGAACACAGACAGCCTTGGTTCAAATCCCGCAACACCACGTGCTATGGGACCTTTGGCAAAATACTCTTGCCCAGATTCTGAGTCTCAGTTTCTTTATCTGTAGATGATAATATGTCTCATAGAGTTGTTATGAGAATTACATTAGATTTTGTATGTAAAACTCAGCATCAAGCACACAGTAAGATTTCATAAGAGACTGACTGCTACTAATTTAATATTAGGCATATTTTTGAATTATCTCACTGTCTCTTGAGGCAGTCCACTGCATAGTCATTTAGGTCTGCAAGTTACACACTTAGTTGAGTGCTGTCTCCCGCTAGCTTCCTGCACCGGTCCCAGACCCACCCCCTAGAGCCCACACAGAGCCCATGTGCTTGAGGAAGCAGACTCGGAGCTCCAAGTTTACTTCACTGCAAGCCGAAGAGTCCCCCCATCCCCTCATCTTCTCCACTACCATCCACATGACCTAGTGGCAAATCCTCTCCCAGTCTTGGTCTCAGTGGCTTAATTACTTTGCCAGCAGGTATGAGGCAGGAGTGAAATTCCTTCACTGTCATGGATGTGGTTATTATTATAGATAATAATATTAACCATAATAGTAAATAATAAAATATTTCTATAAAATTCTGCATTTCATCAAGCACTTTCATATTCGTGATCTGATTTAATGCTCACAAGAATCCTGTGAGAGAGGCCAGACATGTGCCATCCTACATATGAGGCCACATATAACCAGGGAGGCAGGGAACTTCCCCAAAGAACTGCATTCAATAATCAGAAACTCCAATTTTACTCTCCTCCCTCCATCACCATCTGGTGTCTTATGATCCTGGCCTCTCTGTGGTGCCAAAGGTCACTCAGATGACCAGAGGAGCACAGGATGGTGGAGAAGAGACGGTGAGGAGGAGGGAACTCACATTATCTGTGTAAAAGCCTCAGTCCATGCTGCGGCCCATAAGCATGGCCCTGGCCCCATGAGCTCTCTACCCCACCTCCCTCTGTTCATGCCTCTCTCAGTCTTCCAACCCTACTGGCCAGGGCCTCTGCCTGGAATGCTCTTCTCCCAGGTATCTGATTGGCTTCCTCCCTCACTTCCTACAGGTCTTCTAGTGGCCATCTAATTGAAAATATCAAAGCCATGCAACATTTAATTATATATATATATTTATATTATTTATATATATTTATATAAATATATTAATTTATTTATTTTTAAAATTCTTCTAGAGATAGGGTCTCACTCTGTCACCCAGGCTGGAGTGCAGTGGCGTGATCATGGCTCACTGCAGCCTTGAACTCCTGGGATCAAGTGATCCTCCCACCTCAGCCTCCCAAGTAGCTGGGACCACAGGTGTGCACCACCACACCCGCCCAGCTAATTTTTTAAAAACTATTTGTTGTAGACACAGGGTTCTCCCTATGTTGCCCAAGCTGGTTTCAAATTCCTGGGCTCAAGCAATCCTCCAGTCACAGCCTCCCAAAGTGCTGGGATCATAGGTGTGAGCCACCACACCTCGCCACCGCCAACGTTTTATGTTTTCCTTTCCTCGTTTAGTTTTCTTAGCATTAATCACTCCCCTACACACTATTTACATCTTTATCATGTTTATTTTCTCTCTCCCCCAAAACATATAAGCTACTTGAGGGCAGGGATTTTTGTGGTTTTGTTGTCTACTGCATTCTCAATGCCTGGAACAGTGGCTGGCACAGAGGAGGCTCTTAATGAATATTTGCTGAACGAATGAATGAACTGAGCACCTTCCATATGCTAGCTCCTGACTAGAATATGTTCTTTCAGACATCATGGTAATTCCCCCAGGAAGATATTCATGAACTAATTTTTCAGATATAGAAATGAGGTTCAGGTTCATAGAGTTGTGGAACTCCCTCCAGATGACATGGCTAATAGCTAGGGGTTGAGGGAAGGACTGAAATTCAAACCCTAGTCCAACTGACCCGAAAGCCAGAGATTCATCTCCCCCTGCCTCCATGATGCTGTCTTATAATCAAAGCCCTTCTGACGACTATAAAGCATTAATACCTTCAACAACAATAGCCCCCTTTCCCTCACTTCCTCCTACCCAACCCAAACCCACCACTCCTAAACCTCCAAACTTTGTAAATGCTCTTAAGTGTGAGGAAAATGGAGGAATTAAGGAAAGCAAGGGTCTGAGATCATTTGTAATGTGATGCTTGTCAGTTGGGGCTACCTGCCATTCTTCCCAAACTGCTTGTTGACATAAACTCTCCCAAAATTGGTGCTGCCATCCTACCTAAAATAATCCTCCCCAATCATCTCTATCCCATTGTCATGTTTATTTTGTCATAGCACTTGCCACTTGAAATAGTACTGTTTCCTATTGACCGCCTCCCCTACTGGAATGTTAAGTTCCGCCAGAGCGGGAACCTCATCTATCTTGTTACCACGGTACCTCCTGTACCCAACATAGGAACTGGCACATGGTGGGCTCTCAATACATATCTGTTGAATGAGTAAGGGACTCTTACTTCATCACTCATTGCACAGAGAGGGAAACTCATTCACTCATTGCACAGACAGGGAAACTAAGGACCAGAAAGAGGGTGTGGCTAGCCCAAGTTGGTCCAAGGCTAGAACCTAGGACTCCTGGGTCCCAGCCTCAGGGTCTTTCTACTGCAGCACAGAACCTCCCTGGCTGCTGTTAGAAAAAAAGACTGGGTTCATTTAGAACAGAGAGGAGGGCAGAGGCCCTTGCCTGGATCATCTTTCCTAAGCTGGCTCTCTGTTGGCAGATCCACATCAGAGCCTACCTGCACGACCTGGAGCGGGCCAAGATGGGTCTCGGGGGCATGCCTGACAGGAACCACCTGGCCTGTGCCAAGGCTGACCTAGAGGAAGTGGTCAGGGTGTGCCCAGGCTTCAAGGCGTACCTGGACATCGGCCAGGTAAGGCAGTCTCTTGGCTTAGCCAATAGCTGAGCAAGAATCTGTTTACTCCTTGCCAGGCTAGGCCAGGGCTAGGCCAGGATGCAGAGGAAAAAGTTGCACTCCCTCATAACAGTACCCATCTCCTCCAGCCATGGTGAGGATTGAATAAGATGTGTGTACAGCATTTAGAACAAGGCCTGGCTCTTCCTAAGCACTCAGGAAGTGTGGGCATTATTCTTGATCTTGAAGATATCTATTCTTTGTGTTCAGGGAATGTTTACCAAGAAGTGACAATATCATAATTTTAGATACAAGAAAACCGAGATCCAGAGATTGACTCACTCAAGGTTACATGGCTAGGTGTGAAGGGGCTGGAACTGGAATCGGGGTACTCTTTTCCTAGAGGAGCAGGAATAAAACGTGTGATTAATAATTGTCGATGGAGAGAGGGTGGGAATGAGTGAAGGAATGGAATTTTTTTTTAAGCAAGCGTGGGGCGGGAATGAGCATGGAGCCGGGCCTGCAGTGAAGGGCGTGTCCCCCACCCCAGGTCTACTACTACATGGGCGTGGACGCAGTGCAGGAGCTGCTGGCGGTGGACGAGGCGGCGCTGAACCAGGCGCTGGTGTTCCTGGCCAAGGCGGGCGAGTCGGAGCTGGGTGCCACGCTGCCCGAGCTGCAGCTGCTGCGCGGCAAGTGCCTGCGCATCAAGGGCGAGGACGCCAACGCGGCGGCCTGCTTCAAGCGCGCGGTGGAGCTGGACGACGCGGGCTCCAGCCACACCGAGGGCTTCGGCTGCCTGCTCGAGGCGCTGCTGGCGCAGTGGAGCCAGGCACAGATGAGCGACTGCGAGCTGGGCCGCGAGGTGGACGCCTGGCTACGCCGCGCCCAGGACAAGTACCCTGCGGCGCGCCTGCGCCAGGAGCTGCAGCGCGTGTGGCGCGGGCACACGGACGAGGTGCTGGGTCTGGCCCGGGCCCTGGTGGCCCAGGGACGGCTGGCGCTGGTGCGGCTGCTCTTTGAGACTATGGAGCGCGAGGGCGAGGGCGCCAGTGCGCCGCGGGACCGCCGGGCGGTCTCCTTCTAGGATGCGGGTGCCCAGGCCGGAGGCTCCCAGGGACCCCGCCCAGGCCCCGCCCAGCTGGTGGGACCAGGTCTGGACGGACCCCCTGCCTTAGGCTGGCCTGGGAGCGGAGCCAGTTCGATTCTCTGTCAGGAATTGTGAATGGGGATGTTGTGACACCCGGGCGGTTTGAAATGCCCACCCAGACTGGAGGGCCTGAGAGCAGAAGAGGCTGGGAGCAGAGGTGAGAAAACACTGGGAAGCTGCCAATTGAGGGACAGAATTTTCTAGACATACAGGTAAAATAAGATGGTTGTGAGGCTCCTGAGAGAAACAGAAGACAGTTACCTCAGTGTGTCTGTTTTCTAGTCCAGGGACTCAGTCCCTCAGGCCTGCGAGCCTGTCTTTGGACTCCCGTGGGCTTCACTCTATCCTTATGTGAAAGTCCCCTTTACTTTAGTTGACTGGAGTGGGGTCTGAGCTCCTGCAGCCAGAAAAGCCCTGGCTAAAGCAGAGGTCAAGACTGCACCGCTAGTGAGTTACGGAACAGCGCCCTAGCCTAAGCCTGGTCCTCCAGGCTCATTCCTACCTCTCTGCCACTTTTCCAGCAGGCCTCCTCCTTGGTCAACTTGGCCTGAAAGGCCTCCCAAACGCTCTGAATAGAGCCCATCAACAGAACATTCACTTGACTTCCCTGCTCTTGGGGGAACTAGGGGCCCCACCCTTTAGGAGGTACAACCTGCCCCCAGTCTTTTTTTTTTTTTTTTTTTTTGAGACAGAGTTTTGCTCTTGTTGCCCAGGCTGGAGTGCAATGGCACGATCTCTGCTCACTGCAACCTCCGCCTCCTGGGTTCAAGCGATTCTCCTGCCTCAGCCTCCCAAGTAACTGGGATTACAGGCGTGCACCACCACGCCTGGCTAATTTTGTATTTTTAGTAGAGACGGGGTTTCACCATGTTGGTCAGGCTAGTCTCAAACTCCTGACCTCAAGGGATCCACTTGCCTCAGCCTCCCAAAGTGGTGGGATTACAGTATGAGCCACCACGCCTTGCCCTGCCCCCAATCTTGACTATTCTACTAATTCTAAAGAAAATCTTGGAATTTTACACTCTTAGAATCATAGTCATAGATTTTTTTTTTTTTTTTTTTTTTTTTTTTTTTTTTTTTTGAGACAGAGTCTCACTCTGTCGCCCAGGCTGGAGTGCAGTGGCCAGATCTCAGCTCACTGAAACCTCAGCCTCCTAAGTTCAAGCGATTCTCATACCTCGGCCTCCCGAGTAGCTGAAATTCCAGGCTGTACTCACTGCTTTGCTCATATCCTCACTCATTACCAGGGACAGACCAGCACCCCTGCATTGCATCTCATATATCCACTGATGGGTAGAGAACAGACTGAAATTCAGTGTCTTAGAGATTGCACAGTGCACCCCCCTCATTGTGCAGATGGGAAAACTGAGAGCCATAGAAGGGAAACGGCTTGCCCAAAGCCATACTTACTGTTTTCCCCACACTTACTTTCACACTTTTTACCACAAACTTACTTTCACCATTCTTCAGGTTTGGAAAAATACTAATAAACTAATCAACTCTAAAGTATTCAGTGTTTATATGTTAAAGGTTTGTGTGTCACTTGTTACATGGGTCACTCTGATATCCACTGGGACAGTGTTTCAACACTAATGGTGGCATTCCAGGTACCTGTGAAATCTGGCAGTGAGGCCACCCTAAGGCTCCTGAATTCTACCTCATGTCTCACCATGGCTCACCACTTTGAATGGTGACATTCTCTCTCACCCTCTTTCTCCTCTCACCACCATGGCAGCAGAGGCCAGAAGGTGACTCCACAGCAGACCACACACACCCCTGTCCACTTCTGCCCCCCAACCACCCCCATCCCTCTTCTGCCCAAGACTGTGAACCATGACTGTCCCTAGGATGGGATCCCATTTCTTTCTTCTCCTTCCTTAAACAAACAAACTGAATTTAAGGCAGTCTGCTAGCAAAACTTAGAGGCTGATGAAGTTTGTCTTTTTCCCCAGGTCCCCAGTTTGTTTGTTTCCTTTCTTGTCTTTCCTGTCCCCAAAGGTATGTATTTCTCCCTCCATTGCCTCCCTGTCCTTTCATAACTTTTTCAGTAAACTTTCTGATCATTTCATTCATCCTAATTATATAAATGGTTAACACACGCCCACTATAGCTTATCTCAGGAGTATCTGCATATTAACAAAAAGCCAAAGAGAGATAGGAAACCCCATTTCCCAAACTGCCTTCTCTGTGCTAATCTCATGTAATCTCACTTAATGTAATCTCATGTTGTAATTTCACTTAATGCTCTCAACAGCTCTGAAGGTTAGGTATTAGAATCCTCATTTTACAGATGAGAAAATTGAGACACAGAACAAGGTCACGGGTAAGTATGTGAAGGGCCAAGATTTGAACCAGACCAGCCTCGTTCAGTGCTCCCTCCTGCAACACGGCCCTGTGCAAGAGCTGTGTCATCTTCGGTGTGGAGTTGGGCCTTTTCCATGCCCTGTGAGCACCAACCCTACCTGTTACTTTACCCTTGATTACTGCTCCCACACTGCCTTATCTTGGTGCCTTTGTCCACCCTTTTACTCGACTGGCTTTTTTCCTGTCATTTCTACCCCAAATGGTCAGCTCAAAGGCACCTCCTCCAGGAAGTCTCGCACATCCTTCCAGCTCTCATTAATCACTCCCTTTCACGCGTGGAGACCTCGGGCATTTTGTCCCACCGTGTTGCATTTCTTTCCTTCTCTTTGCATGTCCATTGCCCCCACTCGACTCTGGGTTCTTCATAGCAGGAACCACAACCCATTTGGCCCCATGGCCCACAGTGCACTTGGCATATAAAACAGGTTTAGTTTTGGATGTTGAACTGAGTAAACACCCAGCAGTGATGTGGCACGTCAGTCCCAAAGATGTGGTTCCGTTACCAGGTCCACATGACCAAGGCTGGGGCCAGCTCTGCAGCCCAAGGACCCTTGCAGTCTGGAGGTCAGCCAAGGAACATGACCTTACTTCCTACCTCCTATCCAGCCTCACGCCAGTTCCCCAATTCTGTGATTGGGAAACTGAGGCCCAAAGAGCAGGGACTTGTCCAAACCGCCAGACTCATTGCATTAGTGCCTTCTTGCATGGCTACTAACATTTGAGACTGGGTAATTTATAAAGAAAAGAGGCTTAACTGACTCATTTTCCTCAGGCTGTACAGGAAGCATGATGCTGGCGTCTGCTCAGTTTCATGGGGGTCCTTAGGAAACTTTCAAATCATGGCAGAAGGTGAAGGGGAAGCAGGCACGTCTTACATGGCCAGAGCAGGAGCAAGAGAGAGGGGCGAGGATGCTACCTACTTTTAAACAACTAAATCTGGTAAGAACTCTATCATATCAACAGCACAAGGGGGATGGTGCTAAACCATTCATGAGAAATCTCCCCCACGATTCAATCACCTCCCACCAGGCCCCACCTCCAACATTGGGGGTTACAATTCCACATGAGATTTGGGTGAGGACACAGAGCCAAACCATATCACTCATGGTACAGCGCTGTCCGCCCTTTTAGGGGTGCCTGCTTCCCAAGTTCACTTTTGTCACATTCAGAAAGACTACAGGTTTTCCATTTGCTTACTCAACAGATGTTTACCAAGCGCTGATCAAGTGCCAAGCATACTGCCAAGCTCTGGAGCCACAGTGGGGAACAAAACAGACCCTGTCCTTGCCTTCAGGAGCTCACAGTCTAGGCCACAGTGAGCAAGTTATGCTAGGCTCTAGGGACCAGTGGGAAGCCTAAGAGAAGCTACTGAGGGTTTTAGCTGGCAACCCCAGTCCCTCTCCACACTGGCCATACTCATCCTGGGTTAGTGGCCTTTCCACAGCCCAATGGAGAAGAGGGCATGGCTGTTCCCAGACCTTGGGATTTGGCCTATGGCTGCCGCCTTCAACAAGTCACTGCTAAGGCCAGGCCTTGCAGTCCCCAGGAACTGCAGCTTCAATGGATGAGTGATGTTTAAGTACAGCTTTGAGCCCTGTGGGACACCCCTGCCCACTGGGCCGCTGGGAGGATCAACTGTCAAACAGCGGAAGCAGCAGGAAGTCCTCGAGGGAGCCCTACAGAGTGAAAGCCTTAGTGACCCCATAATCAGAATAATGAAGATGAATCACACCTTGTTCTGCCTGCTCACTCCCTCTATGTCGTGCCATCATCAGGCAGCCAGAAACTCCTGTTCAGACAGCAGGGGCAAGGCATGTTAAAGATCGTGAAAATTGATGAGATTTCTTAGTTACAGGTTTCTAGAGTCTCAGAGTTGGAAAGAACCTTAATCATAAGCTTTTTTGCACCCCCCACCCCCCATCTGGAGCAGACTCCTCTCTATAGTGAGTCTTCTGAAAGGAGGGTCTAGTCAACACTTGCATGCCTCTGGCAGACAAACAGCTCATTACCTCATGAAGGAATCATTTTTCAACAGGTCTAAGTCTTCTGAGTTTGTCCTTCTATTGAGTTGAAATCCGTAATTTTCCTTGGTTCAAGTTCACCTTCTCAAGCCATATAGAACAGTCCCTAATAAGCAGAGTGACCTTGAACAAGTTACTTTCCCTCTGTTTTGGCACCTATTGCAGTGTTTGAGCTGTTCAGAGGGTGGCTGGCTACTCTGCCCACAGCCAGGCTGAGCTCTGACCTGGCCACCCAGCCTGGAGCCTGCACAGAGTGGGTGCTAGAAGCTGAAAGCAGAACAGAATAGGGCTCCTCTCCATCCCTAGCCAGACCCCAAGGGAGCACCCTGTGTGGATGATGGTGGCTGGATGCCAAATGAAGTGAAATATCTCCTTTTCTCGGGCTGTTAACTTTTTTTCTTGTTTAAGGAAGGGGAGGATAATGACATTTAGCACTTTACAACTCAGCAGTAAAATGAGCAGATGGAAACAGATCCCCAGCACTGCGGGCATGCTTCCAGTGAGAAACCCTCCCCGGCTCCTGGGGCTGGAGTCTCTGGCGGGGCTTGCTGATGGGGTTAGAGACACAGCGGCTTCCCTCCTTCTCCCCAGTTCCTCCTCCCGCACAGCACCCCAGGCTGCACAGCCGGCTGTACACCTGCTCTCACTTCCCACTTCCTTGCCTCTGCTCCCCCTGCTCCACTACCTAAGGCACCTTTCCTGCCTCCCAGGTCTTATTGGAATACAACCTCTGTAGTGTTTTGTTTTTTTGTTTGGTTTTGTTGAGTCTTACTCTGTTGCCCAGGCTGGAGTGCAGTAGCACAATCTCGGCTCACTACAACCTCCACCTCCTGGATTCAAGTGATTCTCCTGCCTCAGCCTCCCAAGCAGCTGGGACTACAGGTGCATGCCACCATGCCTGGCTAATTTTTGTATTTTTAGGAGAGACAGGGTTTCACAATGTTGGCCAGACTGGTCTCGATCTCCCGACCTTGTGATTCGCCCACCTCGGCCTCCCAAAGTGCTGGGATTAGCATCATTCCCATTTTACAGGCAAGGAAACTGAGGCTCAAAGAGGTTAAATAACTCTCCTGAGGTCCCTTTATACAGCATTGAATGGCAGGCAGGCTAAAGAGTACTAATGAATGGCTTTTTAATTACTTGGGGTTTAGATTATTTTCTCTTCTATCACATATGTTGCTCTATACACTGAATACATATAATTAGGATGGATGTTTTGTGCTTGTGTTTCCAAACCAGTCAATAGTTCTGTGGTGAGGCTTGTTCTATTTTGGCATGTAAATTGTTTCATTAAACTTGCAGCTCCTCTGTGAGTTTTATTTGTCACCCACAAAATAAAA